AGGGGGCCCCCCTGGGGGGCCCCCCCGGGGGCCCCCTGGGGCCACGGGGGGGGGCCCCTGAAGGGGGCCCCTCTATGCATACCCCCACAGACCCATTGGGGGGCTGGGGGGCTGACACGCAGCAGATGTCTGCTGCTCTCAAGCAGCAATATAATATCCCGCAGCAGCTGCTGCAACAGCAGCAGCAGCAGCAGCAACAGGAGAAGCAGCAGCAGCAGCAGCAGCAGCAGCAGCAGGAGAAGCAATTCCCCATTGACTGGGAGAGTGCAGCAGCTGAAGGTGTTACAACAGCAGCAACAACCCCACCAAGTGTCTCTGTATGGGGTACTGAGTACGACTGCAGCTCACCCACACAGGAGCAGCAGGAACAGCAGCAGCAGCAGCAGCAGCAACAGCAGCAGCAGGATACCGAGGAGCATAAGCAGCAGCAAGAGAAGCAGCAGCAGCAGCAGCAGCAGCAGCAGGAGCAGGAGCAGCAGCAGGAAAAAGGAGACAGTTGCTGCTCCTCTCTCCCCTTCTTCGTGCTGCTGCCCCTCGCCTGGGATGGCTGTGGGGTCGACTTGGCTTTCCTCTGCGGCCTCAGGCTCTTCGGCTGCTACGCTATCAGCAGCAAGTGGTGAGACAGCAGCAGCTGCTGCTGCTGCTGCTGTTGCTGCTGCTGCTGCTTTTCCTGCTGCTGTTGCTGCGGTTGCGGTTGCTGTTGCTGTTGCTGCTGCTGCTGTTGCTGCTGCTGCTGTTGCTGCTGCTTCTGGTGCAGTAGAAACAGAGGAAGCACCTGCTGCTGCCCCACTGCAGCTTGTGCTGCAGTAGCAGCAGCAGGAGACTGCTGCAGCTATCGTTGCAGCTGCAGCACAGCAGCAGAAAAGGAGACAGCTGCTGCTGTCTCCTTTTCTGTCTCTGCCTCTCTGCATACCCTCTCGTTCCCTCCCCCGCTGCAACTACCCCTGAACTCCAGTCCCCAGCAACAGCAGCAGCAACAGCAACAGCAGCAGCAGCAGCAGCAGCAGCAGCAGCAGCGGCAGCAGCAGCAGCAGCAAAAGAAACTACGTTTGTTTTATCTCTGTCTCTGTCTGCAGGAGAGCTGATGAGGCCTCTCGCTCTCTTATGGAGATGCACGACCAGGAGGCCCTGCGGGGCGCAGTGAGGGGCCTCGGGGGGCCCCCCTCTGCTCTCCGTATTATACATTCCTCGTTGCTGCTTCTTAACAAACAAACTGTCTCCTCACCACCCCACACAACAACCCCCCCTGTCTCCTCCTCGCCCCACACAGAGGGGACTGTCTCCAGCTGCGCTACAGCCGCACCCGTGCTGCTGCAGCAAACACCTGGGGGGCCCCCAGCTGGGGGGCCCCCAGGTGGGGGCCCCCCAGCTGGGGGGGCCCCAGCTGGGGGCCCCCCTGCTGTCTCCTCAACTATGTCTGCTGAGGACCTTATATTCTCTCCTCTGTCTCCTCTTCGTTGCGTCCGCGGCAGCTTTCCCTTTGCTGAGTTCTGCAGAGCAGGTGAGAGCAGACACAGAGACACTGCAGCAGCAGCAGCAGCAACTGCAGCAGCAACTGCAGCAGCAGCAGCACCCCTATATAAACACGCATACGCAAGCAACCCCACCCCCACACACATCTATATGTATATATATACACACACATCCCTGTCTCTCCCTCTCTATCTCCGCTTATCTCATTCTCTATCTCTGC